ATGCTTTGGTGTTCGTAGCTGTGTTCAATTAATTTCGTTGCGGCTTAGGACAAGCGTGTCTGCTCACCAATCAAAGTCTTCCGCTCCGGGATCGTTTGGATCGAGGTCTCGCGGTGTCAGTGTGGCTCTTATCACAGAAACATGTCGTAGATACCTTCAGATGACGTTTCGTTGTCCTCATCAGATCGGTTGATTGAAAATACACCCTATTCATGCCTTCAGTTAATACCCACATCAAACTACGGCTCCACGCGTACTCACGTAGTCGTCATACGTTCCCCTTCGCGAAAGAAAGATCCTTATACACATTGATTAGCTTCCCCCTCTCATCAAGATCTCGCAATGCAGGACCGCGAACACTAACCTCGGATCTGACCCATCCGAATCAGCCTTAGCCAAACACCTGCAATCCTTCACCCATGCTGTATCCTTCTTCTTCAAGACCTCGGGATTGTAGCGATGCTCTCCTTCGTAGTCATCATCCTCATCATCATCATCATCGCCATAATCACTGTCAAATTGGACTTCCCCTTCTTCCTTACTCTCTTCTTCCTCTGCATCCCCCATCGCTTCATACGAATCATGACCTGTGCCCTCTTTCCCCTGCTTCGCGGCGCGTTTCCGGCGGGCAAACTTCACGCCATAGCCCAAGGGGCCCGAGCATAGCGCACAGTAGCAGTCCCAGGAGCCCATTGAGAATGGAGATATACGTGATTGAATGAAAACGGAGTCGAGGTCCTGAGGTGGAGAGATCGCGGGATCTATAAGCAGGACCAGATCAGGCAGAAGTGGCTTGTGCATACGGGTGTGGAGGCATGATCCATGGAAGGAGTTAAGGTGTAGGCAGCAAGAAAACAGGAGCGAAGATGGAAATGAGCCAGAGAGGTAGGTGGTGGGGAAGTTGTCGTCTCGTGCGTAGGATGGCAGGGGCATCTCAAGGCAGATAAGACGCTAGTTCATATCTACCTTAGCGTCGTATTCTGCGCTTTACTTTTGTGTTATCCAACGCCTATTATTGACGGTCTCCTTTCGGCATTGGGATGGTCGCACGAGATGTTTTGGAACAGACACAATGAGGGGGGATGGGGGGAAGTCGTCTTCAATTCAAAAGCAGTGCTTTCAAGATACGAAAATGTACTGCAAAGAGGTGTCGACAGAGGCTGAACAATTTGGATTCCAGCTGGCCTGGTAACTTCTGGATTCTCAAGAGAATATGTATTCGGCGTTTTGACTCCTTTAAAGAAGCCTTACATGTCATATATATTTAGGTTTATGTGGCTTCAACTCCCCTTTCGCTACAAAGCATGGTGCATAAAAGAATTGCAACTGTGGATTAGTCTGTAATGAGGGCTGTTGGTGGTGTCTCATTTTCTGGAGGTTGAAGGGTCGCCGAAGAAGTAAGGGGCGAGGTGGAAGGCAGCAAGTCTTTTGCGGGACTGCAAAAGCCGACAGTAGCAATTCGCGTTAAATTCCTGTCAAAACTCTGGCAGCGATATACAAACTATTATTATTGCAAAAATACCTTTTAGTTCCTACCTTATGTGCCGACTTTCTCTGCTTCACAGGGGGTGTATGTGAAGGTTGGAGAATGCGGGGAACGCGGAATCTCGTCAAACTCCAGATGGCCCGTGCACTCAGGTACCTGTTGTGTCCGTCAACTTCGAGCTTGGAGACGATACAAATCAAACATAGCCATTACCAACATGATCTGGATGATCAGATGCTAGACATGCTCACGCGGCGAAGTGATGCCCGACCCGGCGTGAACACCAGACACGGCATATCCCAGACCTCAACTCCGCTCCGCCTGAGCTGATCATCCGACCTTCTCTACGACCCATGTTACAGATCATTAATACCCGTTGCTCTCGAGCAGAGCGGCCCACGATTCGTTTCGTCCTGTCTCTATCCAAATCGTAAGTATGTGGCTTAGGGCCGCGCTCCAGTGCCGACCTTTGCTTTTCTTGTTTATATTCTTTTCGATCGCCAGTGCCAGTAAGTCGCGAGAAACTCATCGTGAGCTTTGAATCATGTTGACTGAAGCCACAGCACAAAGCTCGGTCTACGAAACCGGGGACCAGCATGTCTTGCATCCAACATCCACCGCCGAGATCCTACCAGACGATGCAGTCGAAGCCTCCACCGCCGTGAACGGCCTCCGCAGCATTCACTCAGCGCTCCAGGTCATGCAGGCCGAATACTTCTCTCTCTGGCTAGGAAAGTGGACAGAAGCGATCGACTGGACCGCCGCCGTAATGAATACGCACCTTTCCGCAGCCCTCTCCTCCATGTCCCGCGCGCTCCCATACACCACCACACCCGACGCAAAAGCTCAGAAACTAGACAACGAGATCAACAAGTACTTTGGGCAGAGCACGGCATACTATTTCGGAGAGGACTACTTTGCAATAAGGATGCAAGCATTTGACGATATGCTGTGGGTGGTTCTGGGCTGGCTCGAGAGCATACAATTCATCTCGTCGCACTCGGAAGTGCACTATCCGCCGAACAAGCCTGAAGGGACAGCCTGGTGGCACGGAAGGCAGTTCATCCCACCTTTCGCACACCGCGCGCGCGTGTTCTGGGAGCTGGCTGAGAAGGGGTGGGATTGGGTGCTCTGCGGGGGTGGTATGAATTGGAATCCGAAGTTGCTGCCGTACAAGAACGCGATCACCAATGAGCTGTTCATTTCTGCGAGCGTGGGCATGTATCTTCATTTCCCGGGAGACGACAATGACTCGCCATTTATGGGGTAAGTTCTCCCACAAATTTCGTCGTAAGCATGGCACTAGGCCACTCTGCAATCCAAGACGGCGTGATGTGACACCCCCTTGGATGGGTTACTGACTTTATACTCCCAAAGTGTCAAGAAACCCGATTCGGATCCAAAGAAACTGAAGGCGCATGAGCATGTAAACACAATATCAACCGCGCAACCCTCCACCTACGACCCAACCTACCTCGCAGCGGCCATCAACGGCTACATCTGGCTCTCCAACATCAATATGACCAATGCCCAAGGTCTCTACGTCGACGGCTACCATATTTCTGGCTACGAGACCAACCACAGCCGGACAGAATGCGACGAGCGCAACGAAATGGTGTACACATACAACCAAGGAGTCATCCTCTCAGGCCTGCGCGGCCTCTGGGAAGCAACAGGCAACCTCACCTACCTACAGGATGGTCACGAGCTCGTGAGAAACGTGATAGCAGCGACTGGATGGACAGACGCGGATATCACCCTCGCAGCTGCTGGCGCATTCGCTCGTAAGCAAACACCAAAGCTGTACTCTGGTCCAGAACCTTTGGAGGGCTGGGCTGGCCTCGGCGCCGATGGGATACTGACGGAGCTCTGCGACCCTAATGGGGACTGCAGCCAAGATGGACAAACGTTCAAGGGTATCTTCTTCCACCATCTCGTCGCGTTTTGTATGGCACTACCACTCGAGCCAGTTACGCCTGGCAAAACATATGCCGCTACACCGGCGGAAGCTGCACTACACCAACAGAGCTGTAACGAGTACACGCCATGGGTGGTGCATAATGCTGAAGCCGCGCTCACCACAAGAGATGAGAACGGTCGCTTTGGTATGTGGTGGGGTGCAGGAAACGCATCCAAAGTATTCCCACGAAGTGAGATGCTGGAGCGTAGGGTCAGGCTTTTACCACTCGATGCGGTCGACTCTCGTAATACGCCTTCGTACAGTTCGGAGGCGATGGATTTGCGCTCGGCCCAGCGGGAAGGTGATCTGAATGATCGCGGACGGGGAAGGACGATTGAGACGCAGGGTGGTGGGTTGGCGGTTGTGAGGGCGATGTGGGAATTTTTGAGGCGATATGAGGAAGCGTAACGTGTGTAGGGAGCTGCGTGCATGATGCGAGCTAGTGTCGATAATACCACGTTTTATATACAGTCAGGGAACCTAAAACGATTGCCGAATTAAAGACGCATGACGGATATTAACTCAGCATGTGGAAACGCTTCACCAGCCGTGCATTCTTTCCCCGTAGCTCACTCCCACTCTTGTCATCATTCTTTTTGCATCGATTTTGGGTGTGGTTGTTGTCCAAAGGTGAAGCTCTGGGTGCCAGTGACTGAGACGAGGGATTCCCGGCTACGTTAGTCAAATAGTTTAAAAGTTATTGCGCAGGCTACGAACTCCTCGAAGCCGTTCAGACGTGTGTTAGTGAGCTGCGCAGATGGCCCATTTATCACGGATGTAAACTCCATTTCGTGCTTCCATGGTCTCTGCTGTATCTCGAACACCTTTTTCTCGTCGCTGGCTCAGCGCATCATTGCTTTCGCAACGCTGTTCCGTCCAGTTTTATAGACTAATAAACTACTAATTGCTTCAAATATGCTATGCCGATACGTTACTAACGAAACATTGCAAAATCCAAGCCGTAGAATTCTTAACCCAAATTCCGTGACTCCGCCAAGCCTCTATGTCGGAAGTTGAAAACTTCAAAACAACCAAAAATAAAAAAGCAGCTTATCCAAAAGAACGAGTTATTCCACAATATTCCAACTCCCCAGTCAAACTATAGTGTTGTTCCGCATCCTCGCTTAGCCTTACCGTCGCCGCCGCCCCCGCACACGCAAAAAAAGCCGCCTCGTCCACCAAACCTCACCACCACAACCAAGGACCCCAAAATCGATGCAAAAAGAATCATGACAAGAGTGGGATTTGAGTTTAGGCGGTAGAGTTAAGGTTCATGATATGCCGTGTCTTGTGTTTACGCTAGGTTCGAGGGCTACTTCTGCGCGCAAGCCATGTCTGGTATCTAATTGTGTCGCATATAATGTTGTGATGTGGTATCGCTGTGCCACTCCCACAAGTGACAGCCATGACGTGAGATCGGAGCTAAGCTCAGCCTAGTGGCACCCCGCACCCCGCACCCCACCCAACAATTTTTTTATTTTCTCTCCTGTCATATGTCCCTTCTACTCTCGTATATATTTATTTTATACTCAAAATTTCTATAATTCAATCACAGGCAAGATGGCCGAGCGGTCTAAGGCGCTAGCTTCAGGCTCATTACTGAGTACTGCTAGTGTGGAAACACGCGTGGGGTAAGATTCACTCAGTCGCTCGCTATGAACTATGCTAACATGATGTAGTTCGAATCCCACTCTTGTCAATACATTTTTTTTGCATTTTTGTGTAATAGGAAGTTGAACAACACTCCTCCCAGAATTTTGGAGCTCGCCAAAAATTTTTGGGCTTAGCAGCTAGATTTTCATGCCATTCCCTGCCAGCAAGCCATGTGTACTTACACGAAGAATCCACGATCCTCGAAACCATTCCACCTCAAACATTGAACACTGTTACCGTAGGCCGCTTACTAGCGATGAAAGCTTCTTGCGTTCTCCAGCGACGTTGCGTCCAGTCTGTTGTTATTTCATCGACAGCATCAGTCAAGGCTCAATGCGAACAAAGGCCGACTCTGCCTGTGGTACTTGTTAGGGGCGCAATACCTTCCATTTTCATGACCGGATCTTTGTACTGTACATGTGTATACGTGTATGCCACACAGATCGAGATATCGAGATGGCAGAGCCGCCCATGAGGGAGGATTGTACATACGTTTCATTGCTCATGAGATCGATGCGACGTATTTTGCGGAGTGTGGCATGAAGTCTAGCGAAAGGTCAGCGTACGGTGGTGGGAATGAGGATACACAAATACACAACTTACGAAATTTGATGGAAATATGGAAATGTGAATAGCAGCTCTGGAGACGGGCTACGCTGCGGCCAACTAACATTGGTTGACCGGGTTGGTTTCACAGACTGTTTTTCTGTCCGTGCTTGTATTGTGGGCAGTTTTGAGGTTCTGAAAGACCTGGGCGTGTCCATTGGTTGATTGGTTGAACTGGAGGCATACACGTAACGAATTCAGGACGGCGATGTATAGGCGAAGGGGAATTGGGCTTGTGTATGGCAGGAACTTCGAGGCCGCCGTGTCGCAATTGAAATAAGCGAGACGCGTCTTGGAGAAGTGGAGGTGCACGACAGTTTCAGCGGTGGGCGCGAGACCTTGAAGGGATATGTCTGTCTCGCTCAGGTCGTGTTGTGTGGGTTAAACAGTTAAACAGCAAGGCCCGTGACGGTGTGGTGGACAAAATGCCGTCGGAGAATATTCAGGCGCACGAGAGATACTTCTCTTCGTCTTTCGGCGATGAGCTGCGCTTCGTGGGAGGCTGGAGTCGGGTTGGAGTTTTGGCCATCGCGAAATGAAGTACTCAATGAGGGCCACAGGGGCCCAGTTTTTAGCGTTCATTATTCATTATCTCGGGACTTCTGCGGTTTGGAGATGCGATCGGTTGGCAGGTTGGCAGTCGGGTGTTTAGAGCAAAGGCTTAAGCACAGTGCCGAGCTCTTGAACTCTTGAACTGCGAAAAGGGCACCGGATCAGGCGACACATTGCCATAGTAGCTGTGACACCGAGTTCGTTGGTCGTATTGTACGGAAGATGAGTACAGTCGCAGAGTTCTTGACCTGGAAGTCATCGTAACATGCGAAAGCGATTGGACACAAGAGAATTCTGTGGCGGATGGCGGATTGAATCCGGTAATCGACCAAGGAGAGGTACATCGGGAGATCGGGAGGCAACTTTGACATCACCTTCAAGCTTCGGGCTCATAGTAACTGCTGTGAGCGTCATGCTTACCACTGAGAAGTTAGAGTCTCGTCGTGGGTGACTTTTGCGCTTTTGACGACCTTAGTTTCGAGCGGCCAGAGCCGAAACTTGAAATGTTGGAAAGCCAATCTGGTTAAATAGCTCCGGCTACGTGAGCGATCAGCCAATATGATGATATGACGTGGACATTTTGCTCAATGTTCGAACATCGAGAGGTTGAGAGTACAGCGCTTCGGTACTTCGAGTCATGATGCTTGATGTGAAGTCCTGCTGTACGGATATAAGCTTCAGTACACGTCCACCTTTAAAAATAGGGGCGTGTTGCCGCTATTTTACCAAAGAGTAAGACATGACGGGATTTGACTTTCCGGTACACCGCAGTGCAATACGGTGGAACGCTGCTGAAAAAACCAGTGGCGATTGTATTGGAAATGTATATGGTCGTTGAACCGATGTGACTGCAAAGCTAAGCAAATGTGAGTGTTTTTCCGCTCCAGCAGCCTCGGCATGAGACCCTTGTACGTGTTGTCCGTGGGTGAGCTTGTTTACATGTTGATGTTGATAGATCGAAGGAGATGCAGGGATCTCTTTGGTGAATGTTGTGTTGTGTTAGACGCTAGTTGCAGAACTTCTGTGAAGAGTACTCTTTTTCTGCTTCGTTGGGAAGTGGGAAAACTATCCCAATTAGCAATGGATATGGAGGAAGGCGGATGAACTTGCTTCTGCCAAAAGCACACCAGTCGCTCTCGTTTTGCGTACCTAATCAACTGAAATGGGTACTGAGGTCGGTAGGTAGCAGGATAGCGGGGTTCTCGAATGATGCTCAAGCATCTGTGATTTAAGGAAAGACGTGATAGTGAGATGGGATGAAACGGTGATGAAGATTGCCGACAAAATTGCGTTCATAGGGAAGATCAAGGTTGTTATGATTTAGGTTGCGAGGAAGGAGATGCCGGTTTCCTTGGAATATATAGTCGTGGGCTTTGGTGATGCTGTGATACTGGCAATGTGGGCGATGTGGGTGATGTGATGTTAGCGATGTTGGCGATGTGACAATATAGGCGATGCAAGCGATGTGGGTGATGTACGCATGTACGCATGTACGCGGTGTAGGCGATGTGGGCGATATAGGTGATGTAGGTGATGTTGGCGAGGTGGGCGATATAGGTGATGTAGGCGAAGGTGATTTAGGTGATGTGGGCGATATAGGTGATGTTGGCGCTGTTGGCGATGCAGTATTCGGAAGGTATTAAACAGTGGCTTAGTGGACGGGTGATAAAACATTGCTAAGCTACGATCGGCGATTAACGTTAATTGTGATAGAGCAGAAGAAATGGGCGCACACTTACGTTCGATCATGTTATCATGTTGTGATAAAGTGGAGCGGAATTGGATTTGGCATTGACGATTGATCGACCGGGTTTGATGTTCATCTTCGGTGGAATGCGGATGTGCTTGTCTAAAAACCCTTTCCAAATCGCGAGTATTAAAGAAGAAAAGGCCCCGTGTTATAGCACAGGGAGAAAGGCTTCTCTTCGACTTTTCTACGAGGCGAGAGCAGCGGGTGACGGCGTAAGGGTATGCTTGTGTGCTTTTTGCGGGGCAGAGAAAGTTGGCGTTTAGGAAGCAATAAAGGTAGCTGAAAATGTACTAATAGTCTGTGTAGCTTGGCTAAGGGTTTGTTGGGGAGCTTAACGCGTGTAGTGGCGAGGTGGCGAGGTCCTTCGATCGGGCGATGAACATGGTGACATGTGTTAAAAAGTTCAAAAAGGCCCGCGGTGGTGGTGAGATGGTGAGATGACTATTGGCCATTGCGAAAATGCGATTATTGTGAATGGAGGAACTTCGATGGTGAACCCTTCGAGGGCTAAGCTAGTTGCGGGTATCGGTGATGTGTTGGTTCGGATGGCTCCTGTAGTTCGTTCAGTTATTAGGGCTGACTACCTCGAGTGTGCTCACTAGGGATCACTGACATTGCCGTTGGGGTGTATATGTTGTACAGTTCGCATCAAACGTGTGTAATCTAGACGGACGAGAATGATCGGTTGCAGTGTGGCTGTGTTCGGAGTATGTGCATATATCGCCCCACCTGCCTGTGGCATCAAGATTCCTGTCAGAGATGTATGCAAGGGAGGCCTGGTACAAATACCTGAAGTCGAATCGAATCAATCATAGTCCGGCGGCACAAGTATTTCTTGCCAATAGGCTTGGCCGTCTGCGTGCCACATAGACGTGGCATCCTACCTCAAGACAGGTACCATGGAGGCATTCTTGCTCGTGTGCAGTCTGAGTGTGAGTTCGAGCAACTAATTAGTCGAACGCTGCTAAGCATAACAAGCCACGTCGTCTTTTGGGGTGTCAGGCGGTGACTTGTCGATAATAGTTTTGAATTGCGTGAAGTGACGAACGTGTAGCGTAGATGAGGATGGGGCATTGGGTTATTGCACGGAGGTACGCATATCGAATTATTCGTAGGAGGGAGGGAGATAGTTGATGACCGTGATCGCTTGTCTGAGGATAGGGTATTGGGTTGTTGCGCGGAGGTGCGCGTATCGAGTTATTCGTGGGAGCGAGGGAGATAGTTGATGACCGTGATCACTTGTCGGCGTATACAATGCCTGGATATGAAATCCAAAGTCAGTAAAGCTCATGCAGGGGGGAGTCAATGTCCTACCGATCGTCTGAAATAACGCGTCGTCTCATAGCTGTATGGGCATCGCGGCCTATGACGAGAAATAGCTACTCGTTGTCGACATGTCATCGGATGTGTCGTGCAGTTCTTGAGAGGAGGAGAGATAGATTCTATTATCGGAATTGAGGCGTTGAGCTGAGTTGTTGAGTTGAGTCGAGTTGTTGAGCGGCTGATTTGAGAGGTTGAGTTGAGAGGTTGAGTTGAGTTGAGGGTACTCGAGGTTACCGCTGTCGAAGATTTTTCCAGATCAGTGGTCCATGAGAAATTAAACTCGTCCGCGACCGATCTTTCAAGCACTCGTACATTGGTAAACCCCAGCAGCCCACAAAGCCCACATTGCGTCCGATCGGAAATACGCTGAATCAGTGGTCCATGAGAAATAAAACTCGTCCGCACTGATTACTGGTAAATCCTTCACTTCAGCAGCCCACAATGCGTCGTCGGATAGATTTTGCTTGCAATCAGTGGTCTAAGAGAAATTACACTCATCCGCAACTGATCGCTCGCATCATCGCACCTCAGCAGCCCCCAGAAGCCCACAGTGATCCCGAAGGATGAAGAGAGAAGAATCAAATGGGCGGCGGGGTTTTTGGTTGGGTTGGGTGTCGCTCCTGCCGTCGATGCGTCCGATACGCGCATCCACGTGTGCGGTTGACAAAAGAAGGAGGCACGACACTGGAAGATGGCAACACCAAGATAGTATAGTATGAGTGAAAATTTTCGTGAAATATGTTCTGTAGCTTCAACATCATGCCTCGAGTAAGTTCGTTCCTTCAACGTGATGTGATTTGACAGATGAAGTTTCG